TTGCAGGTTATTTTTCGCCGAATCAACATCATGGTGACAGCAACTTGGGATTGCCCATTGAGCTGTACGTTCACATAAAATCAACGAATTCAATTGCTCATAAGGGCGCCTCATAAGGGCGCTTCATGTGCAAGTGTTTTTCACCATTTTTTCTGTAGCCACAAGGTATTGCACCAACACTCTTCAATATGTCATCCTCACCCAATGGCTACGTAGGCAGTTGCCCGCGTAAATACTTTATTCATCAAACCGGGGGATTCATCAGCTCCAAGTCCTTGTGACCCACCACTGCCTTGCCTTTGCACGTTTGTACCAATTATTTGCACTGTGCACTTTGTTGTTGTTTGTTATGCACGCCGCACGTGTCCCGGTTGCGTGCAGCCGACACGGTATCGGAACGAGCCCGACCACCCTCATCGGTGCGTGTGCGCCATGCCAGCCGGTATAAGAGGAGCATGCCAACCAGCACACCGTTAGCAAACTCGCGTGCGCGCGACGTCGTTTTAGAAATGTATTTAACAACACAGAACAATGTCGTCATCGTGAAGTCAACGGGGTTCTTGGACGGGTTTGCGAAATCAGGCAGCGGTGACACTTTATTGCGAGATTCAATTATCAGTTTTGCAGTACATGTACTATACATACGCACCAAAGAATCCCATTTTAAGCGGCTGCCAGACTTCTCACCCGTACTCGTAAACAAGGCCACATCACCCCAATAATGCTCTAATCGCTCCACCGTGCTCCCAATCCCCCCGGATCGGTTGCAAGATCGCGCTCGCGGTCTGCTTCAGGATCCTCCATGGACACCCACCCCTTGCCTCCCCTATCATCTCTCTCTCTCTTCTCTACTCCTCCTCCACTAGCTCTGCTCTACCTCTCTTGCCTCTCCCCCCTTTCGTTATGTAGATATTTGGAGGTCACGTGTCCACTGTGCAGCAGAATCTGCGGGATCTGGCAGGGGTAGAATTTGTTGCCGAGATGTGGTGACATGAATGGCTTTGTCCATGATGATATCTACGTTCTGAGCCTGAAAAAAGAGTCTGGAGACTCAATGAGGATTTTCTAGACAAACAAAATCGTATTCTTAGTTTTTTCGGTTTTATATATATTTTGTTATTTTGTTGTTTCTCTTCAACGTGACTTTACCGAAAAAACTAAGAATATGAATTACTGCAGTCACGAAAGCTTTAAATCAAAACAAAATCTTATTATTGTGAAGACAATGCGGCAGGGTACATCAGTTCCCTATCACTTGCCTGTTGAGGTGCATTGGACATCGTTTCCTCGCGACTCTTGTGTATAGATTGGGTGAACATAATATCCTGGAATAAAATATGATTTATACAATAAAATGTTTTTTATAGCGTATACATGCGATCACATCTCAACACGCTGTATGGAAACAATGGCCTCCATATTATATACTTTTTAATTGGGAGAGGCAGTCATAGGCAGATTAAAATTTAAGATCTTGAGCCCCGACTTCAGAATGATAATATTTATTTAATCTGGAGGAATCCGAAGAGCTATAAAGCTATTATTCACAGGGCAGGGAGTCCACCACACAGACGGGTAGGGGAAGGGAATTCCATATCGTGAGGGTAGCAGAGGAGAATTAGAGAAGCCTTCACATAGCAAAAGTTGAGTGGGGGCTTCGATAGAAGGCCTTGGTTGCTGAAGCAGAGAGTGCGTGGATAGGAGAGTTGTGAAATGAGAGGGGATAGGTAGGAAAGTGTGTGTGTGGGGGGGGGGGTAGAATGAGGTGACAGGGAAGAGCTAGGGGAGGACTAGGAAGGGAATCGAGTGAGTTGAGAGAGCGGCAATAGGTAGGGGAGTTCATGGAGGACTTCCCCCCGTGGTCGCTGGACTTGCCAGGATCGTTTGAATGTCTCAGTAACCGGCCCTTCCCCATCTTACAGACACAGCTGTTTCAATGCTAAATTCTCCTGTTTGATTTGTACTAGGTGCCTCTGTGGATGTGTAGGCTTTGACTTTAACATAGCCATTTCTGTGACCAGTCACAAGCTAATCGCTCAGCTATTTCAATGCTAAATGATCCTGTTTGATTTGTACTAGGTGCCTCTGTGGATGCGTAAGCTTTGACTTTAACATAGCTATTTCTATGACCAGTCACAAGCTAATCACTCAGCTATTTCAATGTTAAATTATCCTGTTTAATATGTAAACCCCTTTGTCAAGGTGCCTCACCTCTCTTAACCAGCTTAAAAGACGCTACGAATCTTAACAACGTTAATTGAAGCTCTGTCGTCCCGACAGGTCTGTTCCTTTCACCTGAAGAAGGCCACTTGTGTTGTGGCCGAAACGTCGTGAGAATTGTATTATTATTTTATTTTATTAATTTATTATTTTATTCTCATTCTACGTGACTTTACCGAAAGAACCAAAGAAGAAGAAGACACAGTCCTATCAAGCAGAAACGTGTTTTGCCTCCTTTTCAGTCGAATATTTCATCGGTATATTTGAAAAATTTCATAAAATAATACCGCGCGAAATTTAAAACAGACAAAAGTCCGTGCCTCTTCATAAAAAAATCTAGCCCGACAAGGCTGTGGACGTTATGAAATGCGGTTTCGTAAAACATATGTGTAAGCAAACGAACCCTGAGTTTCATCAGCATATTGGTCATTAATCACCGAGTTCATGCGTTGAGAAATCGTGATACCCGTTCCACGTCACTATGAATGTTTTTAATTGAGAGGAGCAGTCGATTGACAAAGGGCTGTGAATTATAATAAGACGTATTATTTAAATAGTATTACGTTTTATTTGGTAACCATTTTGAGCTACGTGTGTGCATGTTTTGTGTGCAATGGAGCTCTTACGTTGGATGTCAAGTTAAACGCCACTTATTTGCCCATATGGGTGATTCACAAAACAGTAATTCAAAAACACCCACCACGTGTTTTGTTTTGATCAGGCACGTGTTTGCGTGGGGACCTTGCACGTGCGCGGATTGACGCGCACCCCGTCAAGCGCACAAAGGCATTTTCTTGAGACCACATAATCATAGCGCATATGAAGAAGGCTCTTTGCCCGGAACGTCACATTTTTATGTTTCCATTTTAAAGCAGTGTTATTGTATGCATGTTCACCTCGGTTTGCAACCTACGTAGACAACCGCGCTAATCGGAGGTGCGGGGTAAAGACAACAAACTAATAAACACCAGATAACGACGTGCTGGGTGTTCGCGCGCCTTGTGCGTGTTGTTGTGTTTACATTGGGTTATGGGGAGCGGTCGTGTAGCGGTTAGCGCGCTGCGCTACGGACCCGGCGACCCGAGTTCCTTTTCCGCTCACGGCGAACACCCAGTGGCGATTATTTGAACCGGTCCTGGGCCTCTCCTAGGTCGACTTAGCCTCAAATAGTTACCTGGTGCGGTATGTAAAAACATCGCTACTTGGGAGACAACAGCGGTCGGGCGTGGTAATGGCCACCCACCCCACCTCGTGTACCGTGCCGGTCTTCATAGGTGCTCGCTAATAGGACTTGCCCCCAACAGTCTGTTAAGGCTACACGGGGGTTCTTTGTCGCGATAAAAAAACAAATATCGCACGATACAATTGCTGTCCACGGGGATGCGACCATGGTGTAACACGGTTATCACACTCGATTGCAACCCAGAGGTTGTCGGTTCGATATCCTTGCGCAGCCTTTCAAATAATGATAAAGCTTCCACGACCAATATGTATTCATAATTACTCTTTTGTTAGATCGTGTTGTTGTGGCAATGGTTAAAAACGCAATAGGGGAATACTTTATTTGCCCACGTGACAACTTGATTTGATTGATTCTCTCGGGGTAGTGGAGGGGGTTATAGTTAAACGTTGACATTATTCCCATGCACATTGTAACCCCAGAGAAACTAAATAAGAATCAGTTGAAAAAATAGTGTCGAAGCTCAATGGGCCTTACTCGAAATACACCGAAATGGGTACAGCCCTAATGAATCGAAAGACAGAGTTCGCGTGTGATGGGTTTACAATCAAATGTCGCCATTCTCACCTCTTCTAAGGCGTCTAGCCAGCGTGGAAGAGTAGGCAAATTACCCTTGCAGATGAGAGTGGCTGCCTGCCCTGCCGCGAGCAGTGGGTGGTGAAAGTAACATCGCGTGGCTGGGCCTTTGCCTTACATTATCACAAAATAAACACCGCAGCCACATTGTCGTCCGTTTCGCACAAATATCAGTTTTTTTTTTACGCTGATTATCGTTGCCCATGATTGTTTGATATATATAAAAAAAATTAATGACTAAAGATTGATGAAATTACGAACTCGAAGAATGTAAGTGGTAAATGGCTGGCTGCGTTCGCCATTATAATTCTTGCTTTGCAAAAAATAAATTTTCGTAACGATTGACCGCTCGGTAGTTATATAAGGCCATCATTTTCGTAGTTGACACACCAATATTTGTTTATGTTGTAATTGACAGCACACGTGTGTTATAAGCGTTACAGATTGTGTAAAGTCGTCATGATTAGAACGACGTATGGCAGCAGGCTTATATTGCGTGAATTTAATTTGCAAAACAACTTTCAGGGATTCATATTCTTGGTTCTTTCGGTAAAGTCACGTAGAAGGGAAACAATAAAGTAATAAAAATAAAACATAATAAAATAAAATATTGTATTATATAATTTTATTATTTCTCTTCTACGTGACTTTACCGAAAGAACCAAGAATATGAATCCCTGCAGTCACGAAAGCTTTAAATCGAAACTTTCAGGGACTTTATCTCTAGTCCTACCAACAGAAACACAGCAAACGTAAAACGAGTTACTAATGAATTTTACATCGTAAAGCATCGTGTAAACATTATATCATGGCAACCTGAGAATGTGTGTGTGTCATACAAATAGTTGCCTGTCACTTCGTAGGTGAGACACATGTGCCACCCCGGTGCCAATATTGTGCAATACTCAGGCTTGCTGGGGGCATGGCGAGGTGGTGGCTGGGGCTGGGGAGGGGCAGAGTATTATAAGGTGCTCCGTGCATCAAGCCTCAGTCCAACATCATTTGCGTTCAACTGCGTGCGGTCACTGTCTCAGCCGCATGCATCCAGAGACGTGTCGGTCCGTGCTGCTGCTGCAGCGGGGACTGCTGCTGCTCCTGCTGCTGGTCCTGCTGCAGCTGGGAGGCCAGGGGGAGGCGAGGCCGGCGAGGTCTGCGGATGGAACCCAGACGCGGAGAGGTGTGGACGAGTGGAGGCGCGCACAAGAGGTGATGCTTTGAGATCCCCTTACCTTGGGGCGTCAAGTCAAAGGTTGAGTGCGTGTTCATTGTGCTTACTTGCTACTGCCAATGCAGTATCACGAGAAAAAAGTGTTCAATATCTAAGTTAAAGACTATTTAATCATTTATCGCTCTCGGGCTCTCCTGAATCGAGTCTTGAGGCTCGGTAAAGGCTTCGCAGAAATTAAAAACAAACTTGACGTCTTATGCCCTGTGTCCCATACAACATGCAGGTGCTTGGAGAACGTGACCTCGAGCTGCACGATGACGAATATGAGATGGCCTCATCGCTCTCCAATGCTTTTGGCTTTGACGATGGAGACGCCAATCGTAGAGACCTTTGGAGTGGAGACCTCTGGAGCGAAGGCTCCTCGGATGAGTCGCAGAGACACGCTCAGCCCAGCCCTGTGAACGGTGACTCAAGCTTTGTGGTCGAGGATTTGACCGTGAGCCAACCTGGCTACTGCGGGGTCCCCAACCCAAACTCCTTCTCCTTATACCCATCCCGAAACAAATGGCTCAAGAAAAATCTGACTTACAGGTGAGACGCTTTGTGTTTGCAGGACCACATCAAAGGAGCGCCGCTTCGGCTGCGAGGTGGCCAGATGAGATGGTCGTACAGAACATCGAGTCTTGAATCCGTCTATGCAGACCATTGCAATGTTATCCTCCAATATGCGTGGGTTTCTCTGGGTTCTCCGGTTTCCTCCCACACGACGCCAAGCACTCGCCAGCTGGCCAAACTCCCCAGTGCACCGAGTCTCAGCACTCAGTGACGATTCCCTCGCTAAATTAAGGGCATCATTACTGCTATTATTCTCTTACTCCTGATATATATACACCCTGTGGATACCAATTTGCTTGAGCATACTCAACTTACCCATTGGATGGCTGCTGTGGTGTAACGATTAGCACAGAGGTCGGTGGTTCGATCTCCCGGCTAGGCAGTTGACGATCAGCAGTCCCCCCCGCCTCCCCCGTCATGCCTGTGTCCATCCAGCCAGTATAAATTGTTACATCACAGGCAATCGATCGACAGGTAGCGTATGGTGGGGTAAAACGTGGGTACTTCGATCCCTTCAAATGCGTCCAGACGGTGTGAAACGGCGTGCTAAAAAAATACCCGAGAGAGAGGCTCTACAGAGCTCCCCTCCACTAAGAGTGAGTAAAAGATTGAAGGGATGTAGAGTAAAACCTTGGATTGCGAGGAGCATAATTCGTTCCGCATACGTGTTTGTAATTCAAAGCACTCGTATATCCAAAGCACTCGTATATCATTTGTGATCACGTGACGCTCGGCAGACAAAGCGTATACGGTACTACTACTCGTATTGCAAGACCTCGCTCGTTTATCAAATTGATATTTATTTTAAAAAAAATTCTCATCTTGCAAAACACTCGCAGACCAAGTTACTTGCAATCCAAGGTTTTACTGTATAGCCTTATCTTTTTTTACCGATATATAAAAAACATCTGTCGCTCAATGAAGAGGCGCTCTCGCCGAAGAGGTGGCTAAAGAAGAAAGCGTTGCATAATTCGAGGCGGGGGGATTCGAACGCTCGCCTGTGAAACCGCAGTTGTCTCGTGTATCATCGTAGACTCGAGCGCCCCCCATGAAATAGACCCAGGGGTCGGCAAACCTACGGTTCTGGAGTGGTAGGCGGCTGGGAAAACCACAACGCTGTGGGCCCGCATGAGTACCAAGGTACTCTGATAACCTTCGGGCTCCGGTCAAAGGTTTGTTCATGCAGCCATCCAGATATATAAACATAGACGTAACTTCAACCGAGAAGATGGATACGAATTGAGCAATCATTGGAAAGATGTTATTAACCAGGTAAAACCCGAACTGCTTTGTAGTGGTTGTTGTCGATCATATCTGCCGGGTACTACTACACCACGCACCGCTCGCCCTCCTCCTACCCCACACCCCCACCCCTCGCTCTCCCCCCTTGCTCCTCCCCCTTTATTACCTATATAACCTCTTACCATGGCAACTCTCTCTCCTACTTCAGCAAAAAAAAAAATTCTTGCCGTGGTTTTCCCACCTGATGATGATTGTTTGTGTTGCAATCGAAACGTCGTGATTTAATTTATTTTATTTTATACCTACCACGTGACTTGTATGGATCCCTGCAGTCACGAAACACTTCAAATCTAGATTGGTGTGCGGCTCTTTGGCGTTCCCCCTCTGCCCCATGCGGGAAGACGTTGTCAAGAAGCAAAAAAAACCCGTCAATGTTAAACATAATATATCTTAAAGATAATTAATTAAATTTGACAGGGAATGGGTCACTATGGAAAGTCTTGGTGACGACAAAATGTAGAGTAACATTGTTTCGTGAAAGAATAACTAAGGTGGAGTAAAAAAAACCGAAAATGACTCAGATTATCCCATCACCTATTTTGTTTATTTGAGTCAGAATTTGTATCTCATTTTGCCGTGTACCTGCTGTGTTTGTGTACAAGTAGCTCTGCGTGTGATGCGGCGGCTCTCGAACTATTTTGGTCAAAGGAAAAAACAAAAAAATGGCTCTTCTTTCAGAGGTTGCCGATCTCAGCAAAAGACGATACGGGCTGCCGAGTTTTTTTTACATTTTTACCCCCTTTTGCTCACCCCCCGCCTCACCACCTATGACTTTTTTCATTAGTTAAAAAAAAAATTGTTATTCAAGAACATATTTTACAAAGTAGATTCCGAAGAAGCCGGGGAGGGGGGGTGGGTGGGACTCCAGCAAATAACGTATAATAAACCTGGAGTGATTACACCCTCACAATGTAGGGACCCACCGGGGGTGTCTGGGCTCGCTGCCCTAAGGTTGTAGGGGCCGCCTATGAATTGTAAACGTGCCCCGAGTCATCTATCGGTCCCTGGCGGTTGCTTTGTTTTCTCCGTCCCGTGGTGGAAATGTTTGAAGAGCCTCGTGTTTTGGCTCACGCGCATCGTGCCAACGTTGGCCCCAAAGGCTGTGCACGTTTGCCAAGGGTTTGTCTCCGCGCGGCAGGTTCGTGAACTACCCATCGGGGATGAGCAGGGAGAGGGCCGAGGACGCGTTGGCGGAGGCGTTCGACTTGTGGAGGTCGGTGTCGACGCTCACCTTCCAAATGCTGCGGGAGGGTGAGGCGGACATCATGATCTCCTTCGAGCGGCGCTGTGAGTCCAGCCTCAATCTGCGCGCAATTCATCTAAAGCGCCCGTCGCCACGAGCAGAATCCAACGGGTTTTCGCTCATTCACCTAAACCCTCATCCACACTGTGTCCCAACCTCCTCCTTGCACATCACCCCCCGCCCTCCACCCTGTAGCCACATAGACCGTTGGAGCAAGTGCTGTTGTTTTGATAACTTTTTCTAGATTTTTCGATAATAATACGAAGTCGGGTTACGCAGGCGTTAGTAAAAGCGGTGAAGACGATTCGATGTATTCACAGGCTGTAAAAAAGAGGGACATAAGCATAGAGCTCACGAGGAATAGGGGACAGAGGAGATGATCGGGAAAGAAGGGGAATATTGAAAAGGAATATCAGAGAAAGGAGAGAGAGGGTGCCTGGCTGAGGTCACAACGTGATGATGATCAGTCACGAGGTGTTGACAATGACCAACTTATTCTGGCTGGAATGGCACACGGGAGGATGGTGTGACGAACCACAGTTCGTCACACAGTTCGTCACACAGTATTTACTCGGTTTGCTGCGATATGGCGATGATAAATTGAAAACTACGTATTTTTTATAACTGATTTTTGTGTTTAGTTTGTTGTCTTTTCCCCCGCACCTCCGATTAGCGCGATTGGCTACGGTGCGAAAGAAGTTCAACATACATAGATACTACGATTTAAGGTGCCACAATAATCGCGTCGCCCGTGTTTTGCACAGTATCATCGCATCGTGATTAAGGTTACTAACGTAAAAAAAAACATTATCTGACAAACACATGTAGGAAATAATAATAATACAATCATTAAAGTTCTAAGTAAATCGCTACGCATTAACATTAGTGCTTTGCAAAACGTTTTACGAAGCAGTTAATGGCATTGTGGTATAATATGATGTCAATAATTCCGTACATAGTTAATAATTTAATTATTGCCTACTAACGAGACAAGCACGTACCTTATACGTGTTATATATTATAATGTAATGGTTATAAGACTTGTGGCAGGCTTATGTTGAGCGAGTTGCAGTGGAATAGCTTATGAGTGACTTTTAATCGTACTAGAAATAAGCAGCAAAAACAAAGACATCACAAAATCAAAATGCAACTATAAACGGATTGGAAACGGATTTTTGCGACAATCGTGTAGTATCGCGAAAACGTACCCATGTTAGACTGGGTCTGTAAGTATGTACATTGAACTTCTTTCACACCGTACGTAGCCAACCGTGCTAATTGGAGGCGCGGGGTGAAGGACAACAGACGAAACACAAAAATGAGTTCTAAAGAAGTGAGGTTTCATAATTTATTTAAACGTGCAAAGCTCCAGTGGCTTCATAACATCGGAGGGAAGAGCGTTCTAGATGGCCTCAGAAGTGCATCAATGACCTCAGGGGAGGCCTCGGGCCAGTTCAGATATCATTATCAAGCGATATTGGCCGTGGCCTGGCATCAAACTCAGCTGGCCAGGTTTGATATCCCCATTTGATGTCCCATTTGCATCCTCATGCTATACATCAAAACCCAGAGGTTGGCATTGGGCTGCTCAGGGGTCAGAGCATTGTGCAGGCACCGCTGTAATATCCTGAGATGAAATCCACCACCTATTATTTATCTTCGAGCATTATGCTGCGCTCTTATGTGTCTGCTAATAACAATTACAGTCTACACCTCTGATTAACAGGGTTGGCTACGTACGGTGCGAAATAAGTTCACCATAGTGTACATAATGCACTCTTACGTGTCTTTTAAATCTAGATTGAAAACGAATTTCTTTATAACTGCTTTTTTTGCTTATTTTTTGTCCCTCCCTTGAACCTCCGATTAGCGCGGTTGGCTACGTACTGTGCGAAGGAAATTCAACATAAAGCATACCGTTCGGTACAGGAAGAAGAGCACGTGGATGACAGTGCAATGTGCACGTTAGAGTCATCAGTTTCATTTATTTGGTTTTATCCTGTGAGCTCTTGATTCGGGTGCAACCGCAACAAACAATACAATTACAAGATACATTTAAAATGTACTGCACGCAAATTGAAACATCCGCTATAAAAACAATTACATCTTCCAGAAAAAGCACCATATGTTTATGCTGCGTACAAAAAATGTGAAAAAATCCTAGTTTGATGTTCGATCACAATAGCAATTACAATACAATTTAGATTACAATTCTAAGTATAACTCTAAACTGCAACATACAAATATGGCTAAACTAAACCTTTTTATAAATCACTAAAATAATGCTATAAAAACAACGTAACAGTGATCATTGGAAATGTGATTGAAAGTTAACAATAGCGACATACATCAAATATATTACTAAACCTAGCATCCTTAGCGAGCTGCATGAGTCAATCCATACTAGCAGGAGTATAAATAGTGACCGTTGAGAAAAGTCAGTAGCCTTGGGAAGTTCACAGCAGCAGAAGGGATGACGGCCAGCGGGTCGAGACTTAAGAGTGGCAGACGACATAGAGAACTTAGCCGCTAGAGCAGTGGTTCTTAACCCGAGGTGCACGCACCCCCAGGGGGTGCCAGATACCCTTTCTGGGTGCGCGAGACGTGGCCAGATTTTTTTTTTAGAAGGGAAATAATCGAAAACACAAATTAAGGCACGGGCACGTAAGTGCAAGTATTTTGTTTCATCAAACACCTATGTATTTATTAACATTCTACATTTTTTTTTACGATTGAGACCCAAAGGGGTGCAGGCTGCAGTAAAGATTAAGGACCACTGCTCCAAAGGATGTCCACGGTAGGCACAATAGAAGGATTGCTACATTACAAGAGCGTGAGAAGTGGTGAGGCCTTCATCCAGCAGTGGATTGAACATGATTTTTATTCTGAACAGCACTTGTCCCTAGGCTGCAATTATAATTGAGTACATTTAGTGTTCGTGCGATTCTGATAGGGCAATGCTATCACTAAAACGGTCTGTTTCACAAGACGGACATGGTCTGCCAGCAATCAGCGATGTTGCTGTGCGTTTTATCCAATTAAGTCATTTGTGGGTGTTTTTATTACAACTTTCGCAAATTTGGCCCGTGGCGCTGGAACACGTGATCCACTCTCTTTCGAATGACGTCACGGTATCTTTAATATGCACTTGTGAAGCAGGCTGCACGTATTTTTTATGGTTAAAACTTCCCGCAATATTAACCAGGGTGGTCGTGCGGTCTCGAACTGCAAACCCCCTGCTAACCAGTGGCAAATGGACTACCACTTGACCGTGTCACCCACGAATAATGCTAAATCCTAGGGAGTAACTGCCCTCATCTCTGTTATCTGTGTGCAACTCATGGGAGTACGCAATCATAACTAATCGCTTTGCTAAATGCACGCTCGGGAGTAATTGTGTTTGCCTCTGTGCAGATCATGGGGACGAGTTCCCGTTTGACGGACCGCACGGGGTGCTCGCGCACGCCTACGAGCCGTCCCCTGGACTCGGCGGAGACTTGCACTTTGATGACGAAGAACAGTGGAGCGTCGGCCTCATCGGTGCGTCTGGCTGCAGCTGTTCAACGTCTGCTTGCGATAGGGGCCTCGGAAGTTGGGCGTATAATCAGAAACCAAAAAGACACCCGGGGCTTAATTTTTCACTTGTGTGTTTCGAGAACGCAACGAGATTGTTTTTTAAGTCGGGAATATTGCTCGCTGTAGGGCACTGCCACTAGAGTACAAGGGGCGCCTATCCGTAATAATATTGTATTATGGCACCATATATACTTCTAATTCTTTGGGAAGGGTTATAAAAAATATATCACACACGGACTTGCCGAAATGGATGTGGCGTGCCAAAATAATCCCTGGAACAAAATTTTATATCGTGTAGGCTGAAATTCAATACGGCTAATGACACGTGGAGTGGATTGTATGTGGGATGCCGAAAATAATGCTTATTCTGAATACCTTTTCATATAAATTGTATGATATACTGCGTATAAAACACTCAACACATTTATCAATAACACTGTAGCCTTTAAAGGAAACGTATGTAATAGGCGACCCTTCGGATGAAGGGCCTTCTTGATAGCACATAATCATAGCAAATATGAAGAAGGACCATTGCTCAAAACGTCACATTTTACGTTTACTTTTAAGGCAGTGTTATTTTACATACGTATGTGTAAGTATTTTTGTTTTATTTGTGCTTGTCAACGCAGTTGTATTACAACTAGTTTATATAGACATATACAGACAGGTCAAATGACAAAGAAGACATAACTCCTAAATTCTGTAAAGGTTCTATGGATTTGAGGAGTTTATAATCGGTTTTACAGATTAGATCCACGAATAGCGACACCGAGATTGGCACAGATGAGAGGAGTTATATGGTGTGTTGTCACGTGGCTTCATGGCGTCATATGTAATTTGGCAACATATCTCTTGTTTCTATTTTGGCATCTATTGTTTATCTCACTTTCATCCCAATCATCTTGATCTCTTGTCGACATTTATGTCATCTCTCTATCTCTTATTTATCGTTTATACCACCAAATCTGTGTACCTTTATCTGTCAGCGGGCCATAGCTCAGTGGGCCACTCCAAGAGTCTTCGCGGGTCACATCTGGCCACGTGGGCGACAAGTTGACGAACCCTGCCGTTGTGTATAATGAGCTTTCGCGTTCTGGTCTCTCAACCCCTTAGGCTACAACCTACGTGTGGTGGCCGCCCACGAACTGGGCCATGCACTTGGACTGCAACATTCAAACGAGCGTGGGTCCATCATGAATCCTTCGTACCAAGTGTGGATTCACCCCTACCTCTCCGAGGACGATAAGGCAGGGATCAGGGCTCTCTATGGCACAGGTAAGGGTGATCGATGTGCCCCATTTCCCCAACCACTTAGAGCCAGGCCCTGCCGGCACTGAGAACAGCCAGGGACAGTCCAGGATCAGACATATATCGGAGTCTATGCTCCCATGCTCGATAAGCAATTAAGGATCCATTGGCTTAGTCCAGGCATGTTCAAACTTTTTGCACTTAGTGCCTTATTGAATAACGTGGGCCACAGAATAGTTAGGAGATGCATCGGATGGGCTACGTTAGATATACAATCGAAGTGGAGGATATATTATTCAAAATCAATAGAACAGATCAGACAGAAATGCATTCGGTAGAGATTTGGGTAAAATGTTTTCTTTAAAAATGCGACATTTTCTACATGCTATTTATTTGATGGAATGAAACAGACCCTTGTGTATGTATTATTTAGCTGAATGGTTTGTTCATTTTAACCACTCAAGAAATTAAATGAATCCATAGGCACTACTAGGCAGAGTTACACCTTTTTAAATAAAGATGTGGTACTTGATGTTGTACTGTGTCACCATATTGAACCCTGCTTGTGTTTGTCTTCTTCTCCCTCGTGTGCAATCCTGTGATTCTACAAACAGCGTCCATAGTGACGCTATCCTCAACATCTCTCCTCCTCGTCCTCTCCCTGACCTCTAGTGTGATCCTATTCTGATCGGTCAGGTGTGGGTTAGAGAAGCAGTCTGTTGGTGACACCGTGTAGCATTATTAACGTCTCCCTGTATAACCCTCTTATATTAGTCTATGAACTAATGCTTGGAGATGGCTTCAGGTTATCCTATCCACAACCGTTTGTACCAAGATTGGCAATAATTTGTATGATAATTAGCATTGTGATCCCAGAAGTACGTACATACACGACCTTTTTCTGCCAATCCACTCACTGCTTTGTTGAGGACCTTCCCCTGCTGTGTGGGTCATGAGCATTATTTGGCCATACTTCACTATGCTGGTCAGTGCGGGTTGGTGAAGGCAGGTAGCATAGATGCCCTGTCCCCGCTGACAACGTAGCTCCCTAAAGTACTCTTTATATAATACAACGCATTGCATTGCTGATGCATCTGGGACAATGTTATTTTATATTGTTTGGACAAAGCATTGCTCAATGTAAATGACTATTTTGGTATTGCCCAATACCAGCTACTGTCTATATTTAGCAACACTTGAATCATAGCAATACCAAGCCATTGCCCAATTCCTGATACAATTGATTGTTGCCTATGTTGGGCAAGTTATTGGTACTGCAGTACCAACGGCATTCCTTTGTATATAATCCTCGGTGTCAAGGCGTAGCCAAGATACTTGCAGGCATTGCATTACTCTACTCCAATATGTATAAAGGCCTGGCAACAGGATCAGCTGTCAACCAGCACGAGCATAGTCATGATATTGATATATTATCTTGTTATTCTCCATCAAATTATTACGCGGACATTTTATACTTATAGCCTATTGTATTTATCACTTGCATTGGTCTATTGGCCTGCATCCCTTCAACCCGTCTGGAACTAAGTTGGTGCTTCATATTCCTATATACAGCATATTCATAAAATGCACACCAATGTGATTATATTGTTAACATTATGGTGAATGGTAGCGCCTCTAGTGTATGCAAGGGTGACACGTGAACCCATGGGCCACAATCATCCGAATCGAAAACATCACTTTTTATGACGTGATTCGATGCATTAATTCATCACGAGCTTAACAATGAACATTGATACATGAATTGGTCAATTTTTCTAACACAGCAATCGCCTCTGTTGTGTTATTTTTTTATTTAATGACTTCTTTAAAAAATATAATTGCGATGCACATTTTCTTGGAATTTACAAAGCTTTTGCTGCATTGATTTACCGGTTTGTAGCCCTTTGTAGAAACAATCAGTGCAATATATAGCACCTGGGAGCTATATCAATACACGGACGATCCCTATTATACGTGAAACCATTATACAGTACAATTAACTATCTGCCTGCCACGCTTCTGTGTTTAAAGCCTTAGCGCCTTCCAGCTGTGCGTCAAGACTGTGTGTCGAGGTTGTGTGTCATGACTAGTTGGCTTACGAATCGCTTAGTGCGCGTTACTTACGGCCTCTTATGGGAACGAAAACAAAGTAGCGATGTTTGGCTATGATTGCAATGTCGATTGAATATCATGCAAAGTAATACAGTTAAAAAAAAGTTATATCCCTATGTCAACTATTTCAACATGAATGCCCCCAGCCTCGTCAGATGTCGGAAGCTTAGCCGGGTCGGGCATGGCAGTGCTTAGTTGAGTAACCACCACCATGTGTAAGAAACAGGTGCAATAGGGACGTGGGCTGTAGAGGGCAGTGCAACAAAATCCCTTGTTATGTACTCCTCTCACGTTCACCGACCCGCACTGATTAGCGTGGTGAAGTATGGTTAAATACCAGTATCTATGGGGAAGCCCTCATGCAGCAGTAGATAAAACTAAAACAATGTCCTGCACCATTTACATGTCAACCCACTGGTGAATGAAGGCCGCCTTCCTATGGCGTGTTAGTCGGGGGCGGGCGGGGGGCTAGTTTGACCATACTTCACCACGCTGGTCGCTGCGGGTTAATGAAATGGATGGGGGGGGGGGGCGGGCGGGCGTTATCAGAACCAGCTCAAATATCACTTGCCACTGAAGTTAGCCATAGCTGGGAATCAAACTCAGGATCAGGTGCATAGCGCAATGCGTTAGCCACTGCACCACCCTCCCACTTTCATATATTTACCGTAACGTGTGTTATTTGCAATACTGCTTTGGTAATTTTCTTTACATTTTTTTGGAACAATGTGCTCATGTACATAATTATCATTTATCCATATACATTACCTTGCCCATCATCTCATATCGTGAAATAAAGTTCACAATATCAAACAATTTTTCCCAAGTATCCCCATGTGTTTGATCCATTTTCAACGCTTTTCAATTCAGGTTGAAACCGTTCATGCATTAGTTCTGTAGCGGTGGGGCTTAGGGACACAATACCTTTCGTAAAGACGATCCGATGCAAATTACATTTGAGTGTAAAATTGTGTCGCTATGAGGGGCTTGCCCTATAGAAAACCGCACCTTCGATTAGCACGGTTGCCTACATACGTTGCGAAAGAAGTTCAACATACATACACAACAAAACCAAATTCATCACACACCACGCGTGACGTCATCTCATTGTACGCCTTGAAAATCACGACAGTCGCCAACGCTCATAAAATTCCACCGAGGAGACATGCACGTGAGAAAGCTTTACAAAAATCAACGCTCATGCTTGGTTTTTCTTCCTTGTTTCCATGCTCATTGACCTTCCTCGAATATCCTTTAAATCCTAAATCTGACAATGTACGCTGTTAGATATCTCTCTGTCTCACCTATGGGTTTTGTCCTCTCTTTCCCTACACCTCAACCACCTCTTTTCCTCCACCACTCTGGTGTTTCCTCCCTCCCCAAACCTCCAGGTCCCCTTCCCCGCAGCCTGAGCGTGGAGGCGCCACGACAACTCTCGGAGAACGAATTCACACCTCACGACGACAACACACGCCCGGACAGAGTGCACGAAATCGCCAGCGATGGCCATGACCAAAGAGCTCGCAATGCTCCTCGCGGTGCACTCCTTGACCATACCCACCACGACAAACCCACAACCGCCAGTGACACCCCTGACGAGGCACACGCTCTCGCGGTGAGCTGTAGCAGCAGCAGCAGCGGCGGCACAGACTCGCCACTGCCCATGGACTCGCTTGCTGGCGCACCCCGCCTGTGCGGTGGCAATCTGCGTGTGGACGCCGCCTCCTTCATCCATCGGCAGCTCTACATCTTCCAGGGCGAGTGAGTGTGGCACTCGTATCTCTCATCCAGCGGCACAACCGAATTACGTGGGGTAGTACAGGGGCCAGCCCGGCGCAGCTTGGGAGGCGCCCGATTGTTTTTTTTCTTTCCCCACTGCAGAAGCCACGGCGTACTGCTGAAGTCAGTGTCATGCATTCAAGTGTAGCGACCAACGCATTGTTGGACTCCTGTCCTGGCTTTGCTTGGCCCCGATGTCTTAAGAGGCCAAGGTTTCACGGGTTGGTTCTGGCTCTGCTTGGCGAGTAGCTGCTGGGAAAAAAAAACACCCATACCACGAGGACCGTCGATGACATTTTAAGACA